AGCACATACACCACACGTGCAAGCAGGATATTTGGTACTGTCTCATATTCTGAATTCTATGAATTTATTCTTGCTTTTAGCATCTGTGTGCATACCAATTTGTGACCTCCAATGACTTATTGAGCTGTAGTGGTGAAGGCGAATAATTAGGAACAAACATCTTATCATGTCCAAAAGGAATTTTCATTTAGTGCAGATCTTGAGTTCTGAAATTCCCTTCCAGATTGTCCTTATTGTAACTTGTGAGAATTCTGCACCACTTTTTTATTCATCTGCATATATTTTTATCAAGTAGAAATTTTGTCTTCATCAACCCTTTCAATACAAAAACTAAAATCAACTCTTTAGTAATGGTTGGGTAATGAAAATATGATTCTAACTGAGTCCACGTTATATAAAAAAGAGGAAGTTGAAAGTATAACCCATAATCCAACGTGATTTTTACTGAAACCTTATTTTAGCTCTTAAAAGTACTAAATATGTGTTGAAACTTATTAGAATATCGTGATGAGGAGACTTCAAGTAATGAATGATAATCGCAATTGTTGTCATATCAATTGGGTTTATCAAATTCCCAAGTGTACGTTCTGTATATTAGCTTCCATTTCGTGGGGGAATATAATGGCCAATCACTAACCTAAAAGGTAAAGATTATTCCTTTAAATTGAAACCGAAAGTGGAAGTAACAGGTTTATGCCTTGTACAATTTATAATTATCATTAGGATATTGAATAAGTACAATAATAAGGAATATTTGATTTGTTCAAATTTATATCTTTTAGTAAATAGACTTCTTATTTGATCTTTTAACTGAATCTTAAATTTAAGTATTCGTGGATAAATTCTTAAACATTTTTTTTTCAGTTATTTTTTGAAGTATAGCATTTTTTTTCCCGTAAATTTTATCTCAAATATAATTTAGAATTAATCCCTTTTATAAGTAGTCTCTTCTACCAAATTAGGAATGAGTGTTACTAATAAATAATAATTCTCTTGTACCAATAAAGAATAAAATACCATATAATAATTTTATAATATAAAAAGTAAAAATATCATTGTATTTGATTCTTAATCTTCAAAATAAATATAAAATATATCATAATAAATACCTTAGTTAATAAAATGGTTCATATCAATTTGTAAATATTATTAAGTATAATTTTTTAATTATTTTTAATTTTTAAATTAAAATTTTTTATTTACACTACAAAAAAATTATTATCTACGGCAAAAATCCGTAGGTAATAACAAAAATTTGTAGGTAATGTCATTTTACTTACGGATTTTTTTCTGTAGGAAACTCATAGGTAATGACAAAAATCCATAAGTAATGTTATTTTATCTACGAATTTTTTTCCATATGAAATTTGTATGTAATCCGGTCGTAGGTAATTTACCTATAGAATTACTATCCGTAGGTAATATCATCGGTGAATAATTACCTACGGATTTTTTTTTTGTAGGAAATCAGTAGGTACTGACAAAAATTTATAGCTAATGTCATCTTACCTACGGATTTTTTCCGTAAGAAATCCATATGCGAATTATTGTCCGAAGGTAATTCGTATGTAATCTGGTCGTAGATAATTTACCTACAAAATTATTGTTCGTAGGTAATATCATCCGTGGATAATTACCTACGGATTATATCCGTAAGTAATGTTATTTTATATACGGATTTTTTTCTGTAGAAAATCTGTAGGTAATGACAAAAATTCATAGGTAATGTCATATTACCTACAGATTTTCCGTACCGTAGATAATTACCTACGGATATAATTCGTAGGTAATGTTATTTTACCTACGAGAAAATCCGTAGGTAATGACAAAAATCTATAGGTAATGTCATCTTACCTACAAGACAAATTTTTTCCGTAGGATTATATTTGTAGGTAATACACTCGCTTGAACAAAATATTTTTATTTAGAAATCGAACTCAGCACCTTAGAGTTAGAAGTTGATACTCCAACCACTAAGCTTATTAGGATATTCTGATAATAACTTATAAATAAATTATATTTATATTTATCCGTGTAAATATATAAATATATAAATATATATATATATATATATATATCAAATATATAAATATAAAATATATAAATACAAATATATTTATATTTTGATATATTTATGTATTTATATGTTTATGTATTTATATGTTTATGTATTTATATATTTTGATATATTTATATATTTTGATATATTTATATATTTACATGGATATACATTTATTTATAAATAAATATAGCTTATTTGTAAGTTATTATAAAAAAATCTTAGTAGTTTAGTAGTTGAAGTATATGTAATATACAATTTACCTACAAATTTTTATCCGTAGGTAATATCCGTATGTAAAATACAATTTACTTACAATTTACTTACGGATAAAATTCGTAAGTAATATTTTGTAGATAATAAATTTTTTTTTTTAGTGTTATATGAGTTATTTTGAAGAAATTATCTTAACAATTTTTTTTTTAATTTGTGTATAAATTAATTTTAATCTATGAAAAAATAATTCATTGAAAAATGTCTGACACATCCTTTTGAACGTTGATATGTGTAGAGTTTGAAACTATATATGTTTTGACGGGTCGTGTGTTACAGTGTGCCTGGTTATGACATTGCTCAGGCCTTATCTATACAAATAGAGGCTAGCTAGTGGAGGCAATTAATTGATTTGGTGGAAGGGTCTTAGGAAAATCCCCACTCTCTTGCAATTAGATTGGGTTATTATCTTAAACCTTAACACTTTGTAGAGAATGAGATTAAGCACTGTGCACCCACCTTGCTAATCTTATACCAACAAAACAATGCTCCTTTTTTTCTTTTCATAGGAAGATGCTGTCATATGATTGCCTGTTTTACTGTTAATAACAATGGAAGGAAAAACCTACCTCATGGGGGGAATAACCACATAAGTAACATCATAGACACACATGAATGTCACAATGGAAAGATCCAAATTGCACAATTGCACCACATACGTGGTTTGCACATTGGGTCTGAAAAAATGAGAAAGAGACTACTAAAAAGGTTTTCAATCATTCTGAACCTGAAATTGCAACATGGACGGAGAACTACTAATCATAATTATTGCTGACCCCTTCCCACTAACTCAAACTATTAATCAAAATCATGAAAGCTTTTCACGTCCAAAACTATGAGTTTAGTACATTTCAACTCAAACTAATGTAGGTAAGTTGCTTTTAATAAAAGAGGAATGTTGTGGTTGCAGATTTTTTCAAGCTATTATAATTAATTGGATTGGAAGAACTCATCGTCTTTATCAACTTGTATATCATGTCTTGTTCACTTTTTATTCATCATGGCCATACGTACAATGAGGAAAGGGTTGTGGAGAAACATTGTATCAAGAATCTCTTGTTGGAATACTGATCATGTCCAACTTGAAATGGTTCACACTGATCACTACATTCTAACAATAACAAAGGAGGATAAATTAATTACATTTTAATCAAAGTGTGTATTTTGATTTGCTTACGTTAAGCATGTTTCACGTCAAATGTAAAAGTTATTGCAAGTAGTGTAAGTGTTCTGCATAAGGGTACTGTAGTATTTTTCTTCTAATTACTGTGAGTTTCTTTTGTCTTCTTCAAACTATCCTGTTACTTATTCAGAAGCAATACAAAGGATACTTTCCCTCTAAGCTAAGTCAACCCATTTTTTAGGGTATTAGATGAGAATGAACAATGATTTTACCTATACATATTTTATTGCCCAGAGATCTATGTGCCTTACCTAATTATATATATATATATATATATATATATATATATATATATATATATATAAAGTCATTTTTATTGTGATAAAGAAATAATTTTAATGAAAAAACTTCTAGAAACACTTATTAAAGATTAATCTCTTAAAATATTCTCTTATAAATATTTATGTGGGCACGAATGAATGCATTGCGTATTAGCCCATGTTAAATTGGTCCGTGGGCCTTTTTTCGCTGTAACCAATACTTGAGCCCAACTATGACATTCGAACCTCCGGATTTTTTTTGTTAGAAATCCGATACTCGTCCAAGTTTTTTTCTTTTAGTATTGTGCTTTAATTGAACTAAACTTATTTTAACAGCAGTTAATTTTCTTAAAGTTAATATTTTTCATAGGGGATTAAATTAATTTTTCAATAACAATATAAATTATTACATGTGATAGTAACCTGTATCCTTTAATTAAATAATTCAGTTGTCAATTTATGATAACGTTATTTTTTTACATATGAAATAAATCACAATACCCTCTAATATTATATAGGATACTCCTCCATTATATAATACATTAACAAATCATCTAATTTTCAGCCTATCTAACATCACCAGACAACTCGCCATAATATTTAGAAGGGTACAAATTATATTCAGATTAAGCTTAAACAAAGTAATTTGTTAATATAATTTTAAATAGTAAAACTTTAATTTATGTCCCCATCTACCTTGCCTTAACCTAGATTCAAAAAATTGAATTCTCGAATACCATTTTCATTGAAGTTTTTTAAAAAAGAGTGTTGGGTACAACCAAGCTACTATAACCTACTTCAGAAAGCACATGCGAATGTTACTATACCAAATGTGCGCCATGCATATAACATAACAATCGAACACCTCATAAATTATAATTAATGGAGCATGGAATAAACAAGGAAAATGGTCCCCATTCTAGTAAACAAAAATTGATTTCGGAAGCGCCAATTTAATCGCAATATTATTATTATACATAAATTGGAAACGAAATTAAAGATGAGAGAGTTCGCTTTCTGGTTTGTCGCAGGCTTTTGGAGGTGGGTAGAGTACAGGTGCATATGAGTGAGAAGGCAAAGATAAGGACAAAATGTAGCGAGAAAATTAAACAAAATGCAGAAATAAAATTGACGAGATGGTGTTACACGTGAAATATAATATGAACTTGATTTTGAGTATGAGTGTTCCGTTGGATCCAAGAAAATGGGTGACCAAGAGATAGATTCAGAAGATGTGGAGAATGTCGAGAATGGAACGGTTACAAAGGGGACAGGTACCTCTGTTCGACCACATTTCTCTCGAACAAACCCTACAGAAAGTGTGCCCACACGGGATAAATGCCGCGCCTTTCTTCCTTCCCATGCACACGCAGCACACCGAATCATTCCCCACCGCTCCATCCCCACCACCACCCTCCGTCTCCTCCAACAGCCGCATCAACGACACCCTCCCCTCTTCAGATTCCCGAAACTGCCGTTCCGCCGCTAGCGCCGCCGCAAGATTCATGCCCGAACCCGACCCGCTCGGGCCCTCGCATTCGGCTCTGTTCGGGTTCGGATCTTGAACCCGGTTTGTTTGTTGTTGTTGTTGTGGTGGTGGTGGTTGTGTTCCTCCTTCGTCCCTGAGGGTTGGTCGGAAAACCCAGGTGGCCCCACAACAGCCGATTCCGGCGAATCGAAGACGTTCTTTGAGCGTCCGTCTCCTCCGTTGAGCTCCATCGACGGAATCCATTTGGTCCGTTAACAGACCCAGGATGGTTCTTGCTTCTCTCTCTGGACGGAGCGAATCCTGTAAAATGAGACCGAGTTGACTCATATCGACTCGGTCAAGATTAGAGAAGAGTGTGTGTGTTTGTGAGGGAAGTAAGAAAAAATGTTTGGGGAAAAAGAGAAAGTGAAGGTGAACGGAAAGAAAGCGAATTAGGACAAAATAGAAGGAAGAGAGGAAAGGAACGCGGATTAGAAAGCAAAAACACCAAACGGGGTTTCTTTATACCATTCTATTTGTTTATATTTTTTCTTGCTTTAATTTTATTTTATTTTCGAAATCCGCAACTTTGATATTTGAAAACCGATTTTATAATATAACTTACTTAATTATAAATATATATATATATATATATATGATAATATGATCAGATTTTTAATAATTGCTAAGAATATATTTAAAAATATAATTAATTAAGTGTATAAAAAATTATATCAATTATATATAAAAATTAAACTCTTTTTAGATATATTGTTACTATTTAAACTTAAATATTTTTTATTATTTGTAAAATGAAGATTTTTTATTGAATTTCTTTAAGAAAAATATGTAATTTTTTAACTCGTTAAAATTATATGATATTAACTAGTTATTTATATGATGAAAAAAATAAAGAAATCGTTCCTGTATTATATTTTTTTATATAAAATTGATATATGTCACCTCAAATAAACCCTTAGTTTTTGTAAACTAAATGTTATCCACTTATCTTAATATGAATATTAAGAATTAAAATTATTTATTTTAAACTTTAGAGATAAAAATATTTTATTAAAATTAAAACTAAAATATAGTTACTTTATAAGGAAAAAAATAATGTTTCAAAATTTGTAAAATTATATATATATATATATATATATATATATATATCAAAATTTAATAATTTTTTAAGATCTACCAACATATTTAAGTCTAGTATTTAATTAAAATTGGAAAAAGTCCTATCAAGTCAAACCACGTGATTTAATAATTTCAATTCATTAAAACATATCAACAAATATCCTATTAACATTTTTAAATATACTAATAAAACATTTTTCATTTATTATTTTCAACTAATATATTTAGAATAAATTACAGAAATCATTCTCAAAATTTTCGTGAAACGACACAAATTCTTCATAATATTTTATTATATATTTACATTAATCTCTTATAAAAAAATAGTATAATATTTATCAAATAATCATAGTGTACGATCTTACGTAATTTTATAGATAATAAAATATATTTTAATAGCGTTTAATATCTTTTATTATTATTTTATAATATTTAATATCTTAATCAATAAAATATAATTGATGAAGTATGATATTTTGTAACATTTTTCTTTGTCGATTCATGCATGTTCTGTTGGCCGGCTTGAGCGAAGAAGTCAAAAAGCAGTGACTCAAGGATTGGCCAAGTGGCTCTTTTGCACTCTTCAATTATCTCCTTTTCAATAACACTTTGATCAACTCTATTTTATTACATCTTCAAATTGTTTCAAAACATAAACCAAAAAGTCCAACTTCAAAACCTTCTATTTGCTACCACAGATTAATCATGCTGCTTATAATAATACTTCTTTGACTTTCATCATAATCATATCATTTTTTTTCAATATAAAAGACATCAATGTGTCAACAAACCCAAACTTTTGATTCAACAATAGAACAAAACCTGTGAAATCGGCAAATAGATTTTTATTATTATTATTATTATTATTCATAAGTATTTATGACTGTCTTAAACCCAAGTTAAGGCATCACTGCTCCAACCTAAGAATATCCAAACCCAACAAATCAAACATTAGTTCACTTGGTGAGAGATAAACTAATTTTAAGTTTTGAAAACCCAAACCCCACATTTATACACGTCTTTATCAACTAACTAGTAACACCAATATTAGAAAACAAAAAGCCACTACATGCTTTTTTCTTCTTCATCAATTTTAATATTATGATAATATTTGAGCCTATTGAATAATGTGATTAATTATTTACGTACTTTAAATACCTAATTCTGATTAATGTGGGAAAGAGTATGAGGCTAAGTCCATAGTAAGAAGTGTCTACGATTAATAAATACTAATAGAGAGGCTAAGTCTCTTTTGGCCTCACATATTATTAGTAGCCCTGTAGGGCTTGTTTAATTAAAATCTCAAATTTTGAATATTTGGCCTTTGGAATTGAAGATTTTAAAAACTTATATAATATTTTAGAAAATTGGGATTTTAGTGTAATTTAATAAAATTTTGGGGGTGTTATAAATTTTAAATAATAACTAATTTATACTCATGTGTAATTTTTTAAAAAGTATTTTGAAAAGAAGAAAAGAAATAAAATATGTACTAAAGATGAGTATTTAAATTGCTGGGAAAAACATTGATTTCTGAAAAGGATATGTAGTTGAGATCACGAGACTCTACCAAGGCTTGGCCACGTGTTGGGATCCTCTCATGGACTCGACTCAGTCTCTTATTAAAAATAATAATTTTATATGCATAATAATTTATAATCTCATAAAAGATAAAGTTCTCGGAACATACTTTTAAACGTATTTTTTCTAAATTATTACAAAAAAGATACATTTTTTAAGAAAAAGAGAGTCAATATTTATTTCTATGAATTTCAAGTGCAATGTGGGTGAGGATTGCTTTTAATTCATACAGTATTCTCACCTTTACTCATCATTTTTTATTCAATTAATTTAAACAAATAAACATCTAACACAAATTTTGAAAATTAATTTCTATACATAATTTTTTCAATAAAAACCTATAAATGATTAAAATAAAATGAATTTTTTCATAAATTAAAATTAATTTATATATAAATTATTTTGTAAAGTTTTTATTATATATTTTTATTTTTATATATACATAAATTAATTTTAATTTATGAAAAAAAATAATTTGTTTCCTTATTTTACTTTTTAGACGTGAAAAAACTCACTTAAACAAAGTATATATATATATATATATATATATATATATATATATATTAAAATTATTAAATAACACTATTATTATTATTATTATTATTATTATTATAATAGTTATTTGTTTCGATATATTATGAACGAAATTTTTTATAAATATTTTGAGTTGTTTTGATGTGTTAACAAGTAGGAGAGTTTATTTTTTATTTTTTATAATGTAGTATCTACTGTAAAAAATAGAGGGATATTTATTTTATTATACTAAATATAAATCTTTTATCTTAATTTAATATAATTCTCGATAAATTATATGATATTTATTTCTATTTTATCAGATTATGATTTTATATATTGGATTGAGAAAATTTCTCAATCAATTATCCTAATAATTAAGATAAAGTAGGTAGATTATTATTTAATTTATTCAATTATTTTATAAATTAAATATATATTTTAAATATATTAAATTATTCAAATATTAAACTCTACTCAATTCAATTTGTATACAATTATAATAAAAATATAAAATTTATTTGTAATTATTGATAAAAAATACTTATAATTATTTTTTAATTGGAAGTTGCAATTACACACTCTCACTAAAGAGTAGGTCTATGGCGACAATTTCTAATAAATATGAGTTGGAAAGAGGCTCTAAATTTGTAATAGACAATGAAGAAGATGAAAATATGAGAGAAGAGTAGGGGAGAGTGAAAAAGAGAAATATATAAAATATGGATAGTGTGAGAGAAAAGAAGAGAACGAGAATATATGTGAGAAAAAGGAAGAGAGAATGAGAGTGATTGTATTAGAAAATAAAATTTATTTGAATAAAACTAATAAATACTTTTATTTAATATGATTATTACTGTTAACAGAAAATGAATTAGAGATAGTGTGTTATTTTACCGGTGCTTCCATTTTCTCTTCACTAGGCCCATTTAATAACAGTCTTGAGTTTTTCTTATCAGTTTTCTCCTGCAAACGATGTTGGTGTAAATAGTCACTGATAATTCTTAGAATTATATATGTTTAAGCTTTCAAGTTTTGTTAAAAAGGGTAAAATAATATCCAATTATATATATGTCTCATGTAAAAATTACTATGATCAAACATAATTTTCCATCACCTAAAAATTTCTCATTTCATACTCTTTCTTGTGTGTCTTGCATTGATAAGGTTGGGTGTAGTGATTTAATACCGTATCAACCTTGTTAAGATTATAATTGGCCCTCCCATTACACTTGATATTTTGGCTAGACTTAGTGACATAACTTCCATACATTGACGTGATCAAACCATTTCTGGATAATTTTCTGCTTGGTTTGAGCAAGGGAATACCAACCCAGCACGCCATGTCTCTTCTGCCTAACAAAAATGAATCACATTGACCCCATCACGTAAGTTATTATAAATGTTGTTTCTCTTTTATGAGGACATGGTGAAAAACCTGGGCCTCTTCTTGCTCCTATAAGTGTTAGTAAAAGGCACTTTCAGATTGATACATGGACAAAGCAGCTAACCACTGAAGTTATTTAAGATGTACATCTTTAGTAACAATTTCCGAATGGAAAAGAAAACGTGCACTACTTCCTTTTAACAATTGCTCATAGGAATTGTGTGGGTTAATGATTCTTTGGACAAAAATAACTGCACAGGTGCAGTTTTAAATCTAACGAGAGGTATCTCTTAAGTGTTTCTTTAGTATTTTTGTATGTAGACCATATTGTCATCCACTTGTTTTTTGTTTGTGCAATAGCAACACAGATAATGATGCATATGGAATCTGTACGTAGTATAAAGCAAAGCTATCCCCAGCTTGGTTCGTTCATGAATTAATTTGGCAGTGTTACATTAATTCCTTACCAATGACATTTACATGATAAGAACAAATTAGTGCAAACCTCGTGAAAAACCTCAAGGATTAGACTATGGTACACATCTGAGTTCATGGAGATATAATAGTTCAATAGACTGCGAAGATCTTTGGCGTCATAAAGGCGGTTGGCAGTTATCATCTCCATCATGGACTCTCTAAAATCTTCTCTTGGATCATAAGAACTCTTCTCCATTGCTACCATTACAACAAACTTGGTTCCTTCTCTGCTCTGCTGTCTTCTTCTCTCAACATGCCTAGCTTCCATCCTTTCTCTAATCATCTGGTCAAGTCGCTCTTGCACCATGGCATGTGCAAGGCTTGAGACAGAAGGGAATCTATCAGAGGCTGAGCTTTCTGCTTCTTCAGAAGATGAAACACTGAACCTGCAACTGCAACACAAGGCCTTGCAGCCTCTTTGTTGGAGCTGATTCTGCTTCTGCTGCTTTGAAGCTTTCATTGTAGGACACAAAGACTATGCTTTGAAGGGAAATTTGTGTAAAAATAATCACTTATGCACAATTCACAAGTGGGGGCACAGCAATGAGCTAATGATTATGTTTTGTTTTATGAACATTCAAAACTAGATTAGGTGTTAGCTTGAAGGGCAGATGGGGGACATGCCTATAGTTAATTGAGCCAAAGATCATCATGTTTAACTAGACTTATCATGATCTCAACCCTTTTAGGATATTATTAGGTGTCCTAGCTTTTAAAGTCTGACCAATAAGGAAGGGGCGTGACCGATGAAGCCTATTTAAAAAGAGCTATTTGATGACATGCCTTGTAAACTCTACCACACTTAGCTTAGTAATTTAGCACGCCATATGCCCCTCTGCACCCAGTTTCCCTTTGAAATTGAGAAAAATTATGAAAGCAATGGATGGCCAAATACTAAAGTATACCAGTAGTTGAGATCAAGATGTCTAAATTCGTTGTATTATACTTCAATGATGCCCTTCTTTCCCAATGTTAGATGCTAGCAGATGAATCAAACAAGTTCCTACTTCCTAGCATTTTTCTTTCTGGTTTCTTGTTAGTCGAAATTTCTGTTGCATATCAAATTGCTTTTGTAATGGTTGTTGATCAATTATGGAGAAAATCCGAGAAAAGATACACCCAGCTAATTAAGAATCTCTTTAACAGATTCGTGCTTGAAGGTTACACAGTACAAAGGCAGCAAAACTGGTTCGCAAAGCAAAAGGCACCAGGTGATTAGCATGTGATTATCATTGATGACTAAGCCATTTTGTGAAAAATATGATCCTCGTTTTTCTGCATCATGAAGGTAATTAAATGTGATTAATCAGTACAACCAAGTTGTTTATGCATGCCTCGTAGCACATGTTGCTATAATCATTTTTACTCACTAAAGATAAAGCTAAAGCTAAAGCGCAAGTCCCCGGATAAGAAAGATACATAAAATACCGAAAATATGAAGACAGACTGTCTCAAGTTTGTGCTTTTCTTTAGAATAAGCAATAACAAGGTGAAACTAATGAATGAACTCATCACTCATGCAAGCAACATAAGTAATTTCCATTTCTTTATATAGACAAGTCATACCCATCTACTCCTATATATGAATCTTTTCTTCTTAACATGACATAATTATAGAAACCTAACTACTAGGCTCATGTAAAACTATAGGGAAAACTATTATAAGGTTTAAGAGCATATAAACAAAAATATTGAGAATTTTCATTGTTGGTGATATCTAAAGAACACACTTGTATATGACCCTAATGTCCGAGTGTCAACAATTAATATATATTACCATCTTAGTAAAAAATGTTATCATTTTGTAAATATTAGCAAAAATCTGGTATTAGTTTGTGGAGAGACATCAACATTTTGTTATTATTTAATCAATGATAAAATGTGTGAAAATTATATAATTTAATTATATGATTAGATAGAAAATTTTGAGAAATGTTAAAGGTGATTTGATTTTTTTTTTTTTAAGTTTCTGGAACACTTAACATGACCTTATAAAAAAGAAAAAAAATTGAGATTGTAATTATTTTTTATGAAAGATAGTTTTATTTGAACAGAATAAGATTACTATATATTACTACAAAGTGTAAAGTTCATCTTGATATTCAAACATGTATCTCGACAATCAATTGAATACATTTTGTTTTATTTTTGTTCTCTGAGTTTTTTTAATTTTAACAAAACTATTCAACGCTAAAAGAATCTTATTTAAAAGAACTTTATCCTAAAGTCTCAAAAATTATTTTTTTTGCTATTATCTTCAAACATTAAGCGGATGTAGTAGTTCAGGAATTGACAAATCAAGCCCAGTTCCTTACCCAAGAGAAACAAATCTTAAACAAATTCCTCTTTCAAAGAAAGATCAAATATGTTTATTTATTTTTAGGATTAAATAATTCTTTGATATCTTAAAAATTTTTCATATTTAAATCGACACACTTTTAAATTTTGAATATTTTTATTAATATGTAATAAATATTCTCTTATTGTGAACTTAGCAGTGTTAATATATAAAATATGGAACCAAAATTAATACGTCGACATCGTTAATTTAAAATTTATAAAGTTATTATCAATTTGAAATAATATATCTATTAAATATTAATATAAAATTATTGAAAAATGTTCAAGATTCCAATTTTAATAAATTTAATTTTGAAAGATATAATTTCAAAAGAGTTTATAAATTGTGTATTGTCACTACACAAATTTTAAGTTGTTAATTTTTCAAAAGCTATTATTGATAAGATGTTTAAAATAATTACTATAAAATTTAGCATATAAAAATTTATAATTAAATTAATATATACTCATTGAACCTACTTTATTTTCCTCGTTTTAAAAATATAAGAAAAAAATAGTATATAGCCGAGAGAATAGTGAGTGTTCACTAATCAACTGATCTCAAATTATTTGACTAAAAATCAGTTGTCACAAACCAATTTTACTATCTCGCATAGTTAATTAGCGTTTTTTTTTTCACTCTTAAATTAGCAAGTTTTTATTTTAGTTTCTATAAATTATGAAAATATTATTTTTGATCTTTATAAAACATATAAACTTTGTTTTTAGTTTCTGTTAAATATTTTTTTATTTTAATTTTTCAAAAGTTTCAAATCTTTACAGACTATTTAGTTTAAGATAGATAAATAATTTGTATTTATATCTTCAGGTTTGTTTCTTTACATTATATTATAACACTATAATGTGTTATTTAGAATACTTTTATTTGATATATAAGCAGTTAACTGGTCTCGTATTATAATAAAAATAAAAATAAATTAATTTTATTTTTATTTTTATTAAATTATTTAATAGATTATTATATTAATAAAAATTTATTTTTATTTTTATTAAATTATTTAATAGATTATTATATTAATAAAAATAGTTGTTGGAAGGGTTGTATAATTTTTATCCAAATATCATCACCCAAATTATAAATAGTAAAAATTCACAAAATTTAAGTATTTTGTTTTTATTTAAAAAAAAAGTCAGAAGTGTGAACGCACGTTTAACCGCCGTGCCCGTAAATCCGCGGGCAACCAAACAAGGTATAACTGATTAAGGATAATTGCCAATGCTTCCAAAACAATTCATAACGCAATTACAGGAAAAGCTTCACCAACCAAACATCGTTACGTCGCAAATCTCACGTATCTTATCTAATCTCATAAAGTTGGAAACCCTCTTTTTACCTAAAACAAAACGATTACGATAATTATAGTTTGGTAAACCTAGTTTTTATTCCTTTATTTTATTTTATTTATTTATTGGTAAGCGTTTCACTTTGTGTTTTGCTTTTTGCACTTTGCACTCATCACTACTTCACTTCACACGGTTACCAACTTCAACACCGACTCACATTTTCTCCGACGAAATTCAATGGCGCCGTCTTTCGCAATCAACGACGGCTTTACCGGCACCAGAATCACTCCTCCTTCAGACACCGGCCGATTCGCCGCCGTCTACAGTGAGGTCCAAAACAGCCGCATCGACCACGCCCTCCCTCTCCCCTCCGTCCTCAAACGCCCTTTCATCATCGTCGACGGTCCCCAAAGTTCCGCCGCCGGCAATCCTGGTCTCTTCTCCTCCCATTCGCTTCTTCAATTTTCCTTCAGCAATTCCAGTTCCTTGTAATTTTGACGTCTTTTATCTCTTCTTTTGCAGATGAGATCGCGAAGTTGTTTCCAAACCTGTTCGGGCAACCGCCGGCGAGTTTGGTGCCTAGTGATTCCCACGCGCTGCATGCGAACCAGAAGCTGAAGATTGGCGTGGTTCTGTCCGGTGGTCAGGCTCCCGGCGGTCACAATGTGATTTCTGGAATATTCGGTAAACGATAATTTACAATTCAATTTTAATTGAATCAGTTTATGATTGTGTATGTTGTTTACGTTTATATGGTTGATTAGGTTTCAATTTGAACGTTTGGTTTTCGTTTTAGATTACCTGCAAGAGAAAGCAGAAGAAAGCACATTGTATGGTTTCAGGGGTGGTCCAGCTGGCATCATGAAGTGCAAATACGTTGAACTCACCTCAGACTATATTTATCCTTATAGAAATCAGGTTTATTTTCCTAGTTACAACTTGCTATAAGCGTAGTTGAGCACAATTTGTCATTATTATTATTATTATTTTCAATCTTATGTTCAAATCCAAATTTAGTACTTGCTATTTGCAGCTTCGCATATTCCCCTTGTACATTGAGTCTTTAACTGGTAATCTGCCTTTGTTTTTTCAAATAAGGTTTCTGGATAAATATCTGTCTTTCACTTTGATGTTGTTTGTATTTCTTGGAATCTGATGCTGTAAACTTAATCATTTGACATGCCTTCTATGGGTGTCTAATACATGTAAATCTTTCAAATTGAGGTGTCCTGCTGATGTTGCTATTTTTCCCAAGAAATAATAATCAGGAGATTGTGACAGCTAATAGGAATAAGTTCTATTGGCAGGGTGGTTTTGACATGATTCGCAGTGGGAGGGACAAGATTGAAACTCCAGAGCAGGTTGGCCTACTTGTCTCCACCACTCTGCTGTATAGATTATTCATTTCACATCTTCTTCATGTATGAATAGTAATTGATTTACATGTTCAGTTTAAACAAGCTGAAGAAACAGTGCAGAAGCTAGATTTGGACGGCCTAGTGGTTATTGGTGGAGATGACTCAAACACAAATGCATGCCTCCTTGCTGAGCATTTCAGGTTTCTATGAATGGAATTTTACTTTTGGCATGAATAGGGATCCCCCCAATATTTTAACTTTTCTAAAGTTACGATCTAGTAGTAGTCTTTAGCATTGAGGTCCATTATTTTGACTTTTAGTTAATGCAATTACTAGTGTTGGGGTCTTCAACACCCTCGGATTTTAATTTTTTGTTGGATCTAACTTGTCCATGAACAAAAACATTGCTTTTGCCTGTTAGTTTATGATTTGCCTTCAATGATCTTTTAGCTGTCCATCTGTTGTATAAAATTGTTTGGATTTAACTTTAGAGAGAAAAAAAATACCTTTCATAAATATGCCACTGTGTTTGTTCTTTAACATTTGTTTGTCTTATTTGGATTATACAGGAGTAAAAATATGAAAACTCGTGTGATTGGGTGCCCTAAAACCATTGATGGTGATTTGAAATGCAAAGAAGTTCCCACAAGTTTTGGGTTTGATACAGCATGCAAGGTGAATGAAACTATGCAGTCAGTCTTCACCGTGCATTTAGAATTATATATTGGTTTAATCATTTATGTTATTGTAGCATGTAAAAAAGCTATTTATCTTTGCAACACCAATAATTTGCAAAGCAAAAATTATGAATGGGAATTTCCTAGTATATAATCAGGGAACTTTTGAGAGAATAGGAAGCATTGCATTTTCTCCAGCAATGCAGTCAATATTTTTCATAGAATATTTTTTTAACCTTTATATGGTCATTGATTTTGTACATAATTTGTTATAAAATCAATTAATACTGCTTTTCCCTTTTATTTTATCATATGGTGTGCAATCTGGTTGGTATAATAGTGATAAATAGCCTAATGATATTTAGAAACCCCATTTCCATAAATGCTCTAAATAATTATTTTTAATGCATATTCTTCACCTTTCCCATTTTAAGTATACGTTTCATGATTGCATGGTCTGACCCATTTAACTCTTTTATGCAGATTTATGCAGAAATGATTGGCAATGTTATGATAGATGCTCGATCAACTGGAAAATATTATCATTGTAAGTATCTGAAAGTGGGAAATTTTTAGAATAGCAATTATAGACTGGATGCTTCACTGAGTTGTGGTGACCGATCTTTAATGCTACTAGTTTGCTTCCATTATTTGCAAATGGACCACTTAATCTTTTAAGTTTTTCATATTGCTCTTCAGTTAACACTTACCAGCATCACTTATTTGATTATGATGTGAACATCGAAAGTCAGTTTCAATGTTTTTTTATTGTAAAATTGCAAATTCAGTTATATTCTTTTGACTCAAATACCATGTTTATAAGATATCTTAATCACCCATCTGAAATTTATGGTGTTTGATAGAGAGGAGAGAAATAGGTTGGAAAGAAATATGTTGGTAGTGTAGAGAAATAAATGAGAAATAAAGTAGAAACTAAAGGTGTTTTGGTTGAAGATAAATAGAGAAGAGATAGAGAGATGATTCGAAATAGGTGAAAGATAATACAGTGGATCTCAACATTTTTTTTTTTTAATTTCACTTTTTTTTTTTCCACCACCCTTTATTATTTCCATCCTCTCAACCAAACAAAATACCTTTTGATAGAAAGGCCAAGTTCCTGCATCTTCCTTGCATTGTGTCAACAAATCTCTTGCTATGTGACTTTGCTACTTTTGATTCTCTTGAATTGTATTTGTGTGCGTGGTTTACTTTTGCTGAAAGGTTCATATAATCTCATGACATTTTATCGAGCCATTGACAAGTCCATGAATACATGGAGCTTCAGATTTTTGCTCTGATTCTCTCTCACACAACACACTGTGTGAACCTGTTCAGTTTTGCCCTACTGATTTTCAAACATTGGGTAAGAGATGCCATGTGTATGCAGTTGTTCGGCTTATGGGACGTGCAGCTTCACACATTACACTGGAATGTGCTTTGCAAACTCATCCGAACATTACTATTATTGGAGAAGAGGTTTCTTATAAATTTGATCATTTTATCTACTGTTTAATCAGTGACTTGTCTGGGCTCCATAAAAAATATGATTTGACATGTAAATATCTTAATTCAGGTTGCTGCCAAGAAGATGACACTGAAAGATGTCACTGACTACATTGTGGATATCATTTCTAAAAGAGCCGAGGATAATTATAACTATGGGGTCATTCTTATCCCTGAAGGTCTAATTGATTTCATTCCTGAGGTAGCTATTGCTTCATTAATATTTTTTCCTCCCCATGTGATGTTTTGCATCTGTTCATGTACAATCAATATGGAAACACATGTTACTGATGTTACTCTTATATTCTTTTTGTTTGCAGGTCCAATACCTTATAGCAGAACTCAATGAAATTCTGGCCCATGATACTGTGGATGAGGGAGGGCTATGGAAGAAGAAACTCTCTGATCAGTCGCTAAATCTCTTTGACTTTTTACCTAAAGCAATTCAAGAACAATTAATGCTTGAAAGAGATCCTCATGGAAATGTTCAGGTGCTTAATGATGTTATAGTGCTATGCTTGCTGTGTTTATCTTGCCTGTAATGCAATTTGACTGAACATCAATGTTCATATTTATGTCCATTTAGGTTGCCAAGATTGAAACAGAGAAAATGCTTATTCAAATGGTTGAAACTGAGTTGGAGAAGAGAAAGCAACAAGGCACATATAAAGGTGGATTTAGAGGGCAGTCCCACTTTTTCGGGTACTCCATCTAATTTAGATATCATTATTGGAGTTGCAAGGTTTGATGATATGAATTGCTGAGACAGTAAAATAAGAAGAGGTTCTATGTTCCTGCTTTATGATTTCCCTTTATCCTGCGTTAAAACTCTCTTTTGACCATACAATAGCTATCACTATCTTTTACATCTTTTGTTAGAGTTTGTAGTTACAAGTACGCTTAAAATATGCAGATATGAAGGGCGATGTGGCTTGCCAACTAATTTTGATTCTTCTTACTGCTATGCATTGGGTTACGGTGCTGCAGCCCTCCTGCAAAGTGGGAAGACTGGATTAATATCCTCAGTTTGTGCTGCTGCTCTTTTCATTTATCTTCAAATTATTAAATTAAATATTTCTTCTAGATCAAGTTTAATGATTGATTTTTTGGTAATACCTGGGCCATCAACTCAATATTTGGATTTGCTATGATATTTTGATTAGGTTGGGAATTTGTGTGCTCCTGTAGAAGAGTGGACTGTTGGTGGGACTGCACTCACTTCACTGATGGATGTGGAGAGGAGACATGGTATGCATTGTGATCTAACCTATTTTTTGAATTTTTATGCATTACATGACATTTTGTCTCCATGTTGTTACAAAACTTGGGATCCATTTGGTAGGAAGGAAAGAAATAAGTGAGAAATGTTGAAATAGGATGATGGAAAATAGAGTGTAAATGAAGATGTTTAGTATAAGAAATATAGGGAAGGGATGAATATGTGTGAAATAGAATGGAAATAACTGACGAGTCCCACACTTTAAATTTTCTTCACTCTTATTCCCCTTCAATCAAACACATTAAATGTTGTATTCCACAGCTATCTTTCTCCTCTCCACTCTTTCTCTATTACCAAACAAAGGGTTGGATCCACGTTTATACCCAAATGTTTTACAGCTGCTATTCACTAATAATTTATTTTAAATTAGAAATAATTTTTATATGTATTATAAGGACTACGAATTACAAGGAATTGTTTCTTTTGACACACTTGGCAATGTTAAAATTCCAGAAAATCTGTGTACATTTAATTGATTTGAATGCTTTCTCTGCTGTTCTCTGTTAATAAATTGTGTGGTTTTCTTTTTAGGAAAATTCAAGCCTGTGATCAAGAAGGCAATGGTAGAGCTTGAAGGTATGTATATATGTTCATCTTTTCTTTGCACCCCACAATTGGTGAGAACTTTATTTTTCTCCCGCATGGAAGGATAATAGTGAAATAACGAGAGAAAATATTATGTTTTCTGGGTGAATAATTTTACCTTGTCATATTAATAACCATGACACGGGTGATTGCTCAACCTTCAAGTTCTTGGATGCAGATTTTCAGTTCTTTATAAATAAGGATTTTTCTATGTTAGATACTACTGTGATTGTTTCTGTGACATCTGCTCCAATTATGTTGGATACTGACCGATTACATACATTTTTCACGTTGAATCTTTAGGGGCACCCTTCAAAAAGTTTGCCTCCTTGCGGAGTGAGTGGGCCCTAAAAAATCGCTACATCAGTCCAGGTATGTGTTGACCGTTTATGCGCTCATTGTTTCTTTTTTCTGCACCTAAGTCATGCTCCTTTCTTTAGTTTATAAATTGTGTTGTCGTTTATGGTAACTAGAAACTTGAAAATAATGCGTACGTTGGAATTTCTTTTCATGTTGAACTGAAGAAACGCTCTTGATGATTATCTTCACTCTTCACTGTAGGTCCGATTCAATTCACCGGCCCAGGATCCGATGCTATTAGTCAAACTTTACTCTTGGAGCTTGGTGCACAAGCTTAGACATATTACGAATCCTTCTTTTTGATGGTGGCAATTGATGTTTTTCGGGAAGTACTGCAAATAACAGGAGATTAGTCAAGGGGTTGTATTTTTCACTCTGAAACTTCGCTAGAGAATAATAGTTATGCTTTGGTCGATGTGTATTTATTGTAAACTCGTGCTGCATCGGCATCATCGACTTATGTCTATGTTTTGGGAATATTTCGCTGCATGATATTCTGGTGCAATGTTCATCTGTCTCACCACTTAGGTACCGTCGTAGTGATGTAAATTTAATGAGAAAATTTTAAGGCGGATTGTGCGTTCCACAAACCAAGGAAACCAAATGGTCCCGTTTCAGTGCAGAATATTGAAACCCGGCGAGGTTGTCACAGCAGTATCGAGTAGTAATTCTCGCAATTTAATATAAGGAGATTTTTCAAGTGTTTATGAAATAATCAATGTAGGTGAGAATGCGTCCATCCCTAATTCTAAAAATATGGTGTCATTCTTGGATCATGTATCATGATGGAAAAAATTATCTCTTATATAAGTTAAAAAAAAGTAAGATGAATAAGAAAGTAAGATGAAAAAAAGTAAGCCAATATGAGTAAGGTTCATTTCATATGAAAAAAATAATAATAATATATTATTTATTATTCACATCAAAACATTTTTTTAAAATAAACTAAACAATATGATCTATAAATAAGTTTGATTTCGAATTATTCATTAATAGACTAATATACTAAAGATCTCCAGAGTAAATTCCTTATAAAAGTGCACGTCAAACAATATCTCAAAATAACTTACCATTAAGATAAATTTGAGAGGGATTTGTTTCGTATTAGACTTTATGATAATTTTCAAGATTGTTCTCATCACTTTCAACTTCACAAACAATGCATCCATCAAATTTATAAAAGGAAAAGATTCAATATTTGACTTAATTAGATTATTATATCAATATATATGAGATGAGGAAAAGTGTAAATATTATTAGTAAATTAACGGTGTCTGTGCAATAATAACGAAATTCGGATATGGTTGTTAGATATAATTTTCTACATATTGTCTAAATAAATAGTATAATGTAATGTGATTCGAAAAAAAGATAATGCATTATTCTTCCTAAATTATACGATACAGCGTGTTCTTATAAGTAACCATAGCAACCCTGTGTACAAATAATTTTCATTAACCAAATTTGATCACGCTGTTGAAGAGTAACAAGTTTCCAGATGTAAAAGAGAAAAAACGATATATCTAAAAAATGTATTTATGAATATACAAATAAAATGCTATCGAAAAGATAAAACTATTATAAAAAGAATAAACTAATCCTATTAAAGATAAACTAGAAGATATATCTCAGATGCATCATGCATACCACTTGTTCCTATGAAAATTATTTTGAGATAATATATTTCCGACATGAATATAAACAAACAGCTGATAAATAGTCGAATACATAATACATCCATCCTTTTAATAAGTAGTGATAATTAAGATTGATGACATACATTGAAATCAACAAACATTGAGTCGATCACTTTCCTATCTAGCTCAACATTTTTCCAAAACGTTTAGTTCATAGCCCCCCATAAGGCCATAACCAGTTGAACCTAGCTAGTACTCTACTCAAATCACAGCTAAGCCTAAGTGGGATGTTGTATGGTACGTTCGGGAATTTCAACAGCATGCAAGAATACATGATCAAATTGTGAAGAAGAATCATTGATGGTGGGGTGAAGTTGGGTCAAGGGCAAAAATCTTTTGCCGTTGGCAGTGTGTGTGTGTGTGTGACAATCAATGAGACATTTTACCGTCTATAGGTCATAATAGGTCATAGTAGATGAACATGAAAACGCATCTATTTCTCTATTTCTTTATACACAATCATACATTCAGATACAGCCACGAAAAAAATGCTGTTTCTGTAGCATCACTCCGTACACATGTATCAACTCAAGTAACTTTTAAGTTATACGTTTCTCCATCAATAAATAAATAAAAGTATATGATTCAAATAATGGCCACTGCTAATTATTGAACCACACACGAATTTATTTGTTTATATATCACTCACCAGTGTCAAGAGGTTGGCTTGGGTCCATAACTCTGTAAGCTTCTGCGAGATGTGGCATATCATGATAGCTGTTATGATTTGGAAGCAAATAAAATAAGCACAAGCATACAATCTGCTTCAACTTCTCTTGTTTTCTTTCCCCTTCTTGTGAAGGTGCTTTTACATGAGGATTGAACATTTTATGTAGATTGTATGTATATACCATATTCACAAAAATATACATGACAGCACAGATACTACCTGTTCAATACTGATAAAAATACAGTTTATGAAAATAAGTCTTAGATATATAATTAACTCGTTCAACTGTTAACACCGCTGTAATATTAAAATATTTAAACCCTTGTTTTTATTTTTACATTTAATTTCTATAACTTAGTTTTGTATGTAAACCTACACTATCTGCTATGCTAAAAAGAGAAAAGAAAGTTTTCTTTCTTTCTCCCACTTTTACAATAAAAAAAAAGGTACAAAAACAGTACAGCAGTTGAAGTATGAGAATGGTGCTGCCGGGGATTATAGTATTTCCTGTTGTTCGTGCATCGAACAAGGACTGTGTCCCATTCTGCAGGGCCCGATACTGAGTTATAGAATTCATGGACAAAATATGTTGATCCATTCTTTGTATAATTTATATCTAATAATGGGATGGAAAGAGAAATATAAAATATGACTATGTTATGTTATATGAACAAAAAAAATGTACAAATCATATATCTGGGATCATAACTTGAAATATAAAGTTTCTCCAACATGAAATATTACTTTTTCTCTCCATTCTCCTTAATATTGTTTTTTAAAAGGGTAAAAAATATTAATGATATTTAAAATTAATAAAATCTAAAATAAATTTTAAAATTTAACTATTTATTTAATTAAGATTACTTACTTTAAATGTCCTTAAACATAATAAATAAAACTGTGCAAACAAGTTGAACAATATTTGAGGATAAATTTTCGAATCTTAACAAACATGATAATATTACATTCTGACTTTCTTATTTTCAAAACCAAAGTTTTAATTCATGAAAAAAAAAAAATGTTCTGTTAATATTACAACAAGTGTATTACTTAAATCATTATACATGCAAATTTATAAGTTATGTATAGGAAATATAAAAAACGCAAGGAATGTGCATGGCAAAGATATTTTCACTGGTGCTTTTGTAATGTTGTTATAAAAGGTTTTTTTTCTTTTCTTTGGGATGTTTTTACTATTTGCCCTTTTTGCACACCACTTGCCATTGTCATTGCCAATACCACTTTTCTGCATCTCTTACCCAACATTGGAGAACTACAGTGTTTATATCCATATCTAGACATGGTACGATAAATGAACAATGTGATTTGCTGTAACTACATTATTTTTTCATGGTACGTACCAATAAAAGCAAAAGAGTAGCTGATATATATATATGATTGAGAAGATGACTGTAGCAAATGAATGATGCATGTGAGAAGTGAGAGTGAAAGTGAAAATGAAAATGATGAGTTTATTTTTTGCTAGCAACCAATTGAAACAGGTAAATCATGCAACTTTTTTCCCTCCATTCCAGTGATTCTTCCCAACAAATAGTATGATTGTGAATCTCATTGTCCTGACTTTTTCCTTTTGTTTTTTCTTTGCTACAATTATTCAATAATAATTATTTTCTCAACACAAACCATTTTCTGTCATCTATCACCCAATTAATAACACCCATTATTGAGAGCATTTTTTTTTATGAGCAAAAAGAAAAAATTAATATTAAATCTTTATTTGAAAAATTATTTATTTATTATATTTTATTTTTTGTTACATTTTGAATTATTATCTAGAGACTCTTTCTCCTTTATATTATATTTTTATTATTTATTAAATTTTAAATCCTTCTCCTTTATATTATATTTTTATTATTTATTAAATTTTAAATTATTATTTATTAAAAGAATTGTCACTCGCACGATTCAAATCCAATATCTTAAAATTGAAACCTCATACTCCAACCACAACCACTAAGTTACTACTATTTTTAGATAATAATTTATAAATAAATTATATTGATATACAAGTAAATGTATATCCGTGTAAATATATAAATATAAAATATATAAATACAAATATTTATATATTTTGATATATTTATATATAAATATATTTATATACTTATATATATATATATATATTTATATATTTTAAATATTTACCGACGGATATATTCAGTCGGTAAATTCATCTATAACTAATTATTAATTCTTATCGATGATATATCCGTTGGTAACTAATTGTTAATTTATCAACGAATATATTCATCGATAATTTGCGTCAATAATTACTCATTTTTCAAAAGTTATATATCCATCGATAATTATCCGTCATTAATTAATACTTTTCTTTGTTTGATTTATCAACTTGTATATAAACTTTACAAATCCTCGTAACATTTTTAAATGACTTGATACTTTATCAAATATATTTAATTTATATAATTATAATTTGTCCAGATTTAGTTAATTTGATCAATGATACGAAAATATTTAATATTTTAATTATTAAAATTCATTTCATACACAAAAAATTAGGGAATAGATTAATTCTACCGAGTTATTCTAAACTTCCTTGTCCTAATTTTATATTCATATAAAAAAGGTAAAATTAATTAGAATTTAAAACTTATATACTAAGTTTATTAAATTTATGGTATTTTATATATATATATATATATATATATATATATATATATATATATATATATATATATATTTTATTCTATACTCAAACAATTATCCTCATGAGTTTCTTATCTGATATCAACATAACTATCTTCCATAAAACGTATTTTTAATGTATAAAAATAATTACATGTTCAATTCTTATAATAGATGGTAAAAAAAATTACACGGTCCAACTAATAAAATATTTATTGATATAATTTATATTAAAATAATTGTT